TTCTGGGAGTTGAAGTCCACACATCTTCAAGTTGCCAAGGTTGAGAAACACTGGGCTAGAGGGAACAGTTACATAAATAGGAAACCGCCATCTACAGGCTTCAGATGATTTAAGACGGTATAACATTAGACCCATTTACAGACTACATGGCATTCTTTTCTTTGTATGCATATGAGGTATTTCCATCAAGCTCCAGCTGATAAACTTATTTTAGATTCTGGGTGAATTGAAGGAAAATGTTTGTAACTGAAAATATGGTGCCTTAATTTATAAAAATTTAGTCCATAACAATATTCTTGTCAATTACCAATGTTCCCCCTGTGCTATTGGTCTGGAGAGATCCTAAGGGCAGATCCAATATTTGGATAGGATATACTGTGTGGTATAAATTAAGCAAAGGGTTGCTACATCCTCAAGCATGGCTCCTAGAACTCCAGATGTCAAGACCCATGCAACTGGACAAGAACTACACAGATTTTAGCATGCTGTCTTTAATGCTAGTTGGAGGTTAATACACAAGCTTGGAAACTGTCAGAGGAACTTCCCAGTTTCATTTATAGTGAGTGCATTAAGGCATAGTCTCTTTGAATGAGTTGAAACACTTCTTCCCAGATTTCTTGCCAACTGGACCAAGGTGCCATTTAAGAGAAGCTATCAACTGACTTGTCCACTATCTCTTCATTGTTTATGTCTATTCTGTTCCTTCCCCAACCTCCCCATGATGTCATTTTAGGTTTACCTCAGGAATGCACAACCTGAGGTTCTGCAGGTAATTAAAACAGTAATTAAACTTCTTTCACTCAGATCCAAAGGAAAATTTCCCCCGCATTGTTTCTATGAATTAAGAACCCTGCTAAATTAAAAGCCTAACATTCCCCATGCAACCAAATAAATGCATCTAGAAACATCTCTTTCCTCCTGGTATTCCCCAGTGATTAGCATTTAGAGGGGTGCTGACCACTTGATCCTGGAGGTAAGAAATAGACAGGCTAGTAAAAACTGTTGGTTTCATTGTGAATAAATGATTACTTCCCATCTAGCGTTAAATCCATCTACATTAGTGGCAATATATTACGGACAGCAAGCCAGTTTAGAACATAAGAGTCCTGATAAATCAGACCAATCTAATGTATGTTCTGTATTTCCATGTGGTAGGGAGTCAATAGCTTTATTTCTTGCTTGATAACACTTTAGATAGGGATCACCTGAAATTTTCCTACAAAACATATTAACAGTTGCAGAATTGTTCTCTCTCTCTTTCTGGCTAATCAGCCTCTCATAAACAGAGTCACAACAGCCAGTGACTTTGAGAATTTGTGGTGTTGTAGTCCCAATAACTTCTCAATGTATCACTTTTGGGAAGGTCACTCAATAACTTCTCAATCTCAATTTGGGAAGGTCACCAAGGAGACTGGGTTTAAAGGCTGCACCATGTTTTACAAAGTACATGGGCTGGGTTCATACCAGTCACTGTACCAAAACCAAATAAACCATGTTATGGTTGAACTCAATATGTGAGCAAAGCCATTGTCCTAAAACTAAAGCTGATGCGATGATATATTTAGAGTCAGGAGCATAGACATGGTCACTGGCATTGCCGGTTAACCTTTTGGTGCAAATGAGGAAGTGTATCTCCATTTAGTTGAAGAAAATACATATTTCAAAGGATAACGTCTAGGTCGTTCATCATCGGATGCTGCTTTATCCTTTGTTTAGTTCAGAATGTTGAAGGGCAAATATATATATGGTTTCCCAGGAAACTGTTGCCTTAGGAGTTCTCTGAGCTGTATTAGAACTTTGTGGACCAGTTTTTCAACTGTACAACGGTCTGTATGAAAATCATCTTAGTCTTAGCTAAACTGTGCTATGGCGACTCTTTCTGTCTTCCTTGATGTTCCCTTGGCCACAGCAATAGATTTTCCCTTGGATGTCTACAGGGAAGATCCCTCACCCCAAAAAGTGTGCCTTGGCCATGCAGGTAAACCAGTTCTTATTCAGACATGACCACCTCTGCTTACATTGCATGCCAAGCTGAAAAATCCTCTGTTGACCAGCATGTGCATGCTGGCATTTCAGCCCTGATCAGGCACTGCAGTAACTAAGGTTTGTGGTTTAGTGTGCTGTCCAAATCTGAAACAGCCCCTTTTTCATTCTCTAGTAACTAGGATGTAGAGCCAGTTTGGTGTAGTGGTTAAGGTATCAGGCTAGAAACAGGAGATTGTGAGTTCTAGTCCTGCCTTAGGCACAAAGCCAACTGGGTGACCTTTGGCCAGACACACACTCTCAGCCCTAGGAAGCAGGTAAGGGCAAACTACTTCTGAAAAACCTTGCTAAGAAAACTGCAGGGGCTTGTCGAGGCAGTTGCCAGGAGTCGACATTGACTCAAAGGCAGACACAAAACTAGGGTTTATAATCCACACCCAACTTTGATGATAAGATCTAGTTTCCAGAAATCACATGGCAGCCATTTCAGATTTTTATCTCTGAACAGTACAGTTCTTCAACTGGTTGGGTGTTTCTCTGGGAAACCTTGTGAGTATGGAAGTCTTCCAGAATCACCATGAGGAGCTGACGAACATTCAGCTCTCAGGATAGAAGAGGAGGTGTGGAGATATGGAATCAATGTTGTGCTGTAGTCCCCGCATATACATCACCAAATGCAATGAAGAAGATAGTATAAAACCAACATAGAAAGCAGCACAGTAAGATGAAAAATATGAAGCACCAATGGAAATAGCAAAAGGAGTGTTTCAGCAGGTAAATACTATAACCTAGGTACTGGGTGGACATCTGTAGGAAGGTTATTCTACTGAAAAGGCCCTTTTTGTGACCACATGAGGTTAGTGGATTTATGAAAACTCTGTTCAATATCTATATTTAAATAAAATACATCTCCATGAAAAGGGGGGCACGTGTTAGAGTTGGTGATCTGTATCAACCAGGGAGGAATCTTTGCCCTATTCTGTGTAGCCATTCAGAGAATGGTTAGGTGGATGCAGTCCACCTTCCCTAAAGCTCTCAGAAAGATACAGATGTTACATCATATCATGCCCCAATGTATAGGGTCTGACATGACTTCCACAAGCACTCCTTGGAGGGGGGGGGGATTTCTCTATTTTTACACATTGTATATCCTGTGTGGTGTTTTCAGTTACAGTGACCGTCAGGAGACACCACATTACCATTTTAATCCTTGTTGAGAATCTTCAGATGTGGGTAGCCAGATGTTATTCTATGGAGTTCCAAAGTGAAGCAAGTGCTGCAGTGTTCATCCCTGAAACATTGGCAGGTGTATCTCAGGCCAGCTGTGTTGCTTTTCCTAGGATGCCACACAGATAGCGCTGATGAAATCTGGATCCCACCAGTTGTGCAACAAATTCTGCTGCAAATCCCTCAAGACCCCACCTTGGACCATGAATACATCAAAGAACTAGGCATTGTGGAGTTCACCAAAACAGCCATGGAACTGGTTATTGGCAAGAACAATCAGGCTCTCTTAGACAACAGGGTATGGGGATACTTAAATATGTGTGGACGTGCCCCTGGGAGATAGAGATATGGAAGGAACAAATAGATATTTTTCCTTATTGAATAAATTCAGAAGCTTGTATGGAGCACCACTGGAAATAACGGTGCCCTAGCATCTTTTCCTGTTAATTATGACAGTTTATCTTGTTGCCATGACATGGGAGGAAGGAACGTTGAAGGCCATTAGCAGCTTGGGAATGATCATGAAAAAGATTAAACAGCTCTCTGTCCTGCACTGTGGCTCCTGTGAAAGAAAATTGGAGATTTTGTGATTTTGCCCAGACTTGAGAAGCCTTTTTCCAATGAAGGAAGGAAGGAAGGAAGGAAGGAAGGAAGGAAGGAAGGAAGGAAGGAAGGAAGGAAGGAAGGAAG